TGCGATTAGCCACGGCTCGTGTATCGCTCGTTGTGTGTCGTTTTTAACCCGAAACCTATGTGGCAAGAGCCTTAGGTTTGGCGTCGGTATCCCGTGCTTTGGTCGACAGACATGTTCGCACGTAGACAAGGAATGGAGTACGAAGTGTACAAGGTTTGCAGATACCAAGGTTTGCAGATAAAATCGAAAGAAGTCTTCGGCATCTAGATAAACAACGTTTTCCTGGCACTTTAGTTTTTTCACTGCGTGCGGTGTAGTCTAGTCCTTTCGTGCGACAACGTCATACACACCACGTGCCGGTGGTGCTCACCAGTAGTTCAGAGACCGCAAACGGCATCGGAATCCAACCGTGTGCCAATGACAGACATTCCGGAGACCTTCATGCGATCAAGTCGTGAATACTTGCAAGATCATTTGTTCCATGTTTATTCCATTTCTTCATCTCGAAACCAAGGCGCTGATCTCTGCGAAAATGCAATACACATCTCCCGGCGAGTGCGCCTGCAACATGCGACGAAACATACGGAATTTTCAGATCACACCATTGCACCATCGGTTGTTCCACCGAGTTGTGCCTTGCAGCACTCTTTCTCCAAATAACCCCAGCGAATTGAACGACAAACCCAGCGAACTCAAAGTCATGCGGGGGCACGACGCCCTGCAAACTAGCCAAGCGCAAACCTTGAGGGTCTGCTCGAAACTCTTGTAAGTACGAAACCCTCTCCACCCCCCCACCCCACCCCTCAGGCTCCATGATCAGCCTAAAACACGCGCTCGAGAATCACGACAATGCCTCCGCAATGGCCGCTGGTATGGCTTCGTCTCCCGGCCACACCGCGCGGCACGCCTGCGTGAAGCAGTCCCTCCTCGTGATTTGAACGCCACGACCCCTCGCGTTGAGGCGGGTGCTCACGTCGAACGAAGCCTGCACGTTGCGGGGGAAAAAACGACGACGTAGGCTTGTTTTTTTAGAGCGTGCACTCCAGTCTTTCGTGGGAAAATGGAGAGCCAACAAACGTTACGTGGCATGCAGTATCTGTGAGAGACAGACGTTCACGCAATGGGGCGGCGCGTGCGTCTTTTTCTCCGTTCGGACTACTAACCGCCCGTTCGGATTACAAAACCTAACTTCGGACAAGACAGAAAATTATGCTCGGCCTCCCCAGTACATCGTTACCCCTACTACTGTCTAATGCGGGGAGTACAAAGCTGCGGGCTGCCAGCCTATTCGTACGAAATGGGAGAGTCTCCAACCTAACTGATACGGAAGATAACACCATATCTGTCTCAAAAGGGGAGTCGACGCGCTGGGCGCCGCTTGTCTTTCCAGAGCATTTGCTGAGCATTGCGGAGGTTCATAGGGATAGGGTTGCTGTAAACGCGTCTTTCAGGTCTCTCATCCCTCTTTCCTGTCTACTTCGTGTGGTGATATGATCTGTCTGGCAGCTGCATTGATCCGCAGGCTCGAAAAACACACGCACGTTAGTCCAGGTTGAAGTTTGTGGGCCTAGTGTACTGCTGTTGTAGCACTCTTACAAGCCACCATGTCAAACAAAGCTGAACGTGAAGCACACCTATAATACACGAGGTGCAACGCGCACAGCAGGTGCACAACCGAATCTGGGTCAGCAGCCCATCATTTGTGGGGTTGCCAAATATCAATTGTACTATACTTACTTGATTCCTCAGACGCTTCGCTGTGACCTGCCCCCCCGAGCTCCTCTCGGCTGCCTTTGAGAAATCTACATCCCCGATCCAGCGGGAGTGGTGGTACCCGCAGAGTCCGGGGTGCTGCTGAGCTGCGGTCCTCCTTGCTGCCAGGTCCCTTATGTCTGGGAGGGGCTGGGGCTCGTTGTCCCCGTGGCAGCAGAACCGCTTCCCAACCGCCCTGGCTGCAGCAGATGTCGCCTCGGGCAGGAGCTGGGGTGTTGTGTCCGCGATGAGAACCAGCTCGTCCCACACAACTAGGGGAGCATTCACTGGGTCCCACTCAGCCGCTTTGGCCTCCCAGAACTGAGCGATGTCCTCTGGGTCCATGGTGGTGATGTTGGTACTGCTGTACTGCTGTTGTTGCTGCTGTTGTGCTGGCAGGCTGTGGCGGAGTGACAAAGTGTCAAAAAGAGACACCCGCCCCCGTGCCTTCGCGTTTTTGAGAGGGTTTTCGTGACTACAGGCACGATAGGAGGCATGATAAAACCTGTCTTTATCTGGTACGATAAAGCATGCTCTCGCTGTTGACTTGTGTGCCTTCTTCCTTGCCTTCGGAATGTGGTTGCAGAACTGAAGGCCAAGCTTACGAGGCCTCTCCCCGAGTTCTCCTGCGCGCGTGTGTGTTCGAGTGTATTCCTTGTCCGTCTTCAACCAACCGCCACCACAAGGCATAGTTTATCTCTCGCGCGGCTCGTGCTTGCTGCTGCTGCTGCGGCGGGCTGCTGCTGCTGCTGCTGGTGCTTTTTCATTTCGTTTCGCATGCATGCATCCAACAAACAAACCGCGTGCGTGTGTGCTTCTTGTCTCCGCTGGATTTACCACCCAACCAAGTGGCATTGGAGGCGGTGCCATGCCTTGCGCCAGTGTGCTGCATCGGCGGCGGGGTAGAACTGCTGTGCATGCGATGTATCTCTACTGCTGCTGCTGTATCCATGTAGACTATCACCATGTAATCGTGTTTGGGGTAAAGAAATACGGCGCCCTCTCCTCTCTCTCTCCTCCGGTTTCCGACAGCACCTACATACAGCAGTACAGCAGTCAGTGTAGTTATCGGTCACTCATCACATTCTTCACGTGAGGGTTACGCTGCTGTTGGGCACTAAACCTTTGTGGCACCATGGGGTGCGTGCGGTTGACCCATGTGGGAACCTGTTGGTGCGCAAACAAACGTGCAAACGTTCAAGTGCAGGTGTCGTGTGTGTGTGTCTCATGACTCATCGGTCTATTCGGTCCCGGCAGAACAAAAAAAAACGCGGAAGATCCAGAAAGAACCCAGTCACGAAAGGGTTAAAATGACACAACGAAGCTATCTCTGTCATAGAGTCTGAGACGGATTAGCAATGAAGTCATAGCGTCAGAAAGTACCTGTATGTCTATTATTATAGGAGTAGTTGGTTACGCCGCACGCGTGTCTGGTGTCTGGGTCTGGTGTCTATTGCTGGATGCGACGGCAGGGTAGTCAGTCTACAGAGTATGTATCAGCCGATGTGGTGACACAGCATATTTCCTGTTCCCACAGCGCACTCAAAGGGTGTGTGTGCGTCATTTATTCTGGTGCTAGCCCAAGCTAGCCTACACACATGATATGTATATATGTTCGACGTATCAGCGTATCAGCCGGAGTCACACAGGACGTACAGGACCCATCTTTATGGGGAGCAAATCTTCCTTTGAGCAAATCTTGCTTTTTTCGACCTTTTGGGCAGCCTGCGTCGCGAACGAATGGAACCCTCAAGAAAAGTCACAGCTTTGGTTGAGATGTCTACAGATCACCTAATTGTTTCGCCAGGGTCCACGTGTGATTTTTTTCCAGCAGAGCAAGATTTGCAAATTCGTCCAAGATTGAGCCGAATAGCCAACTCCGAGCAAATCTTGGGTCAAGATTTTCCAAGATTTGAAAAAATGCTGGTTTTGGAAGGATCTTGCGTGAAAATTGCACATTTTGAAAAAACTCAAACGGGGACCCTTGCGAAACAAATAGGCAAATCTGTAGACATCTCAGCCAAAGCTATTACTCTTCTCGAAGGTGGAACAGCTGATTCGCATTCGTTCGGGAAGCAGACTGCCCAAAAGGCCGAAAAAGACAAGATTTACCCAAAACAAGATTTTGTTCCCATAAATCGGGGTAATAATAACAGTACTGCCTTTTTGGTTCTGCGCGGTGCCCAGATATTGACTTTCAATCCAACTCCGTTGGCATAAAACGCCCCTGTTTATGGGAGCACAAAGTTACGCGAAAAGTTGGGAATTTTATTTTTATTTTCTTATCATGACACAATGGACCCATCTCTATCGATAAAAAAGAGTCAAAGCTAGATTGACAATGAATCCAGAGCATCAGCGAAAGCTACCTGTCTTTCCACGATTTCCCTAGCAGCACACAGCGATATCTCCCCCGCGGGAAACAGGGTCAACAAGACAGTTTGGTAGCCATCTTGTGCATCTATCTGTATGTGATGACGGGAAGGTGTAACTTTTGGTGGGGAACTTTTGTATTGAACATTTTTTGTTGCACGCTCATTATGGGGCGAAGGAAGTTTTCACGTGGAGGTTTCTTCACGGGACTGGTGGAATGCGGAAGCGTGCTCGTTTTTGTGTATTGAGCAACGGCGAGAAGCAGGCACACCCGTTCATACGACACCGCGAAACCGGCCAGAGCGTGCAACAAAAGCTCGGAAAACGAGTTGGCCCAAAACCTGGCGTGCATTCCCTTCGAAGCCAGGAAGACCTCGATGATGCTCACATTCAACACAATTGTTGACGCAGACTCTACCAATAGTATTCTACACAGCTGCGACCATCGCAGGCAATTCCAACTCGTCGATCAAGTATTCTGACTTGGCCGTTCATTTATCGCGTTGATCATGCGTGTGTGTGTGGCTGGAGAGAGTCTACGTGCTTGGTAGGGGCAGGTGCTTGACGTGGATTGGTGCAAGTCTCGCCTCGAAACTTTTGTTCGACACGTTTGTCGCGAAATATTGTGCAAAATTTTGCTACATACCGCGCGATTATTGTCAAAAGTGAAAGTTTCCATACGTTTGGCGTGACTGTTTGTTCCTATGAAGGAGCGTACGAGAGAAAAGTTGCCAGAAAACTTTGCGAACTTGAACTTTTCTCGCAACTTTATGCTCCCATAAAAAGCGGTGTTTAACTGCGGGTATTGACGAAAATGTACTTGCCATCTTTTACTCGACTGACGGAATGGTTCTCTCTCGGTCCCCCTTCTTGCCTCGTTGATCTGCTGCGGACGTTGCCTTGCGGGCCATCTTTCCTCTTCATCAAATGATCAGTGGCGGATACTATGCGATTCTGCAGCGAATGGTGGGTGATGTATGGATGGATATAGGCACCGTGAGATATTGCTTTATTCGCGCATGGTACCGTGCACTGTGCCCACTCGCACGGTTATTGTGTGATTTAGACCTACAAGCATGGTAGTGCACTGCAGCGTGATACCTGCCGCATGTGCCCACTCGCACTGTTGTCTTGTGGTGTAGACCTGTAAGCATGGCGGTGCGCTGCAGCTGGGCCATATGTACCATCGGCGCTGTCGATACGATGTCCGTCGACACTGGTGCACTGGTCAATTGCATTGGTTTGCCTCGTGTTCGGGGTGGGCAATCGAATTGATTTTGTCCTTAAGGGAAACGAGTGCTCGAGATCTTTTTCGCATTCTCCGATACCTCGGTACAATCTGCTTGTATTGTGTTTTCCCTGTGCCTTCGCAGCAATAACATCATGCACCCGAAAGAGAACAAGACGGACCGGAAATTGATGTATTCATGCAATCGGTGTAAATATGAGGAGGATGCGCAATCGGGATCGTGCGTCTACAGGAATAACCTCATCACTACCGCAGGGTAAGACATGATGCAGAACAGAGATCGAGGCAGTATTTTCTATGGTACAAGGCGTACAGTTGGAAACATTTTGCTGCCGTGTTTGCACCATAGTACGATGCCGTCGTTTTGTTTCCAATGCACATGTAGAGACAGCCATGTAAACACACGGATCTACCGATACTGAAACCGCTTGTTCGAGTGCGGTAGACTGTAGACTGTTGGTGTTATGGTTAGCTCTTGTTTCTACAACAGCACACCTGTGACGAAAGCAAGTCTTGGGGCTATTCTTAATGGGGTGGGGGTGGTGCTCTTTCGTGCTTTTGCGGCGCGTGCTCAACGGGCGTATGTAATGTGTCGCTATGCCCGTAGTGTGTGCAGCTGCAAACGCACGCACGCACGGCTTCAGCCTGCGCGGTTGTCGTAGCGCTATTGGTCTAAGACGAGAGCACGGCAGCCTCGACTTACGTTTGGTCGTCGAGATAGTACATGTTGAAGCTATGCAGGGCCATTGGTGTCCTCCGGTATGAAATGTGCCTCAAACTCGTCTGTGGCAAACTTGCCACTCAGTGGCGGCATGTCGGTGGTTCGTCGCGTTTGCTGCTGGGACGCCTAAGTTTGGCAAGCTTGTCCCCAACATGCAATATGCATGTCGCTGGCCGTCTTTTGCTGTTTTTCGCTCATTCGTGTCAGGAATAAGCTAGATATTGTGCAGACCGATGTCGTGGACGACCCCACCTTGCAACGAAGCAAGAATGCCATCTGCGAGAAATGCAACTACAACGAAGCCGTCTTCTTCCAAGCAGACGAGGTGCGTCCCTAGCCTAGAATTGAGACATATCGTTCCAAGCGTGGGTGCATTACGTGCGTCGCCCCAGACGTCAAGTGCACAAAGTGTTGGATGGGTGCGTTACGGATATGTTCCTGAGACCGGCGCAAATAGTGAATCGCAGACAAGACCCTTACAGATGCAGAACATGCTCTGTTCATGTGTTCTCTTTCTCGCCGATGGATTTGATGCGAGTCGGTGCATGTAGCAGAAGGAGCGAACGCAAGGTGTAGGTGCTGTTGACGCAATCGGTAGCTGGGAGCCAGAACGATAGGCATGGGGGCTTTCACCGCACATACGTAGGGTATACGAACAACGCCGATTCGGCAAGCCAACACAAGAAAGAGTTGATGATGCGAAATGGTCCACGACAGAGAACTAATAGGATGGTTTCCCAGCGCTCCTATCCCTTTGCACGCCACGGATGCTGCCCGATGGGCTCTGGCGTGTGCGTATCCGCCACCGTTGCTCATTGATGGGCAGTGCTGTTGAGTGCAAAGCGAGCACGGCTAGAAAAAGCAATTCGGCCAAATCCGGCTGCTATTCCGCCGTGTGCAGACGAAAACATTTTTTTCGTATGGAGAACTCCCCAGCCTGCTCACCGACGTCCACCAAACTGTGAGTCACGATGACCCAGTATTAATAGACACAACTGTGTGACATAAAGCCACCCGATCTGCGCACCGCGTGCGACAGCACAGTTCGACACCCAGCGGCCGATCTCGCTTGCCAGCAACAACAAGACACCAATTTGTCAACACATACTGACCCCTTCGACACAAAACTTAGATCGATGTGGAGCTAGAACTACACTGTGCTCGATGCGCATGCCTTTGGGGCGTGTCCCACATCGGATCACGACGCACAAGGAAGGTTTTCCCTAGGGGGGGACGCATGTTGCAACGTACCACCCATGGGGGTGTATTATTTACCATCGCACGCCCCCTCCAGCAGCTCCCTTGCGCTGCTTGCTGGTTGCTTCTTGCCTCATATTCCGAGGGGTCCTTCGGAAAACACTCCAACCGACCTTGCGACATCATTTCGCTGCTAGTCGGCGAAGTAATTAGCTCCCTGAAATGGGCATCGAACGGGCTGCCTGCGCATTTGTTCAACTCGGACTATTGACACTTGTAGGCGAGGAAACGACATGTGTCAAACTTTACCATCAGCAAGCTCTTGTTTGGACTGCCTTTTTGCTTTTTCGCCGCATGTGCACCTTGAGAGGCACATCATGTCTATCTGGCCAGCCTTCCACAAGCAACCATATTGCGATACATCAGCCCTCCCTGCATCTAATCTGCACATACAGTGTCGGGCGTGCTTTAGCAGTCACCTGTGCGCGACACACTCCTATTTTTCGGTGCGTGTCGAGTGTGTCTCCAAGTAAACGCTCTGTACTGAAGTAACGTTTCCTACAACACACCCTCAACCTTTTTTTGTCTCTCTCCGTCGATCAAACCGTAAACGTTCCAAAATCCAAATCTAAGTCAAACTCACATGCTGGCTCATGGCGCACGGCAGCCCCGCTCTACATACCGCTATGGTTGATGCATGCACTGGACTGCCAGTGGCCTCTCTTCTACTTACTTATCGTGATATCCAACAGGACGACCCCACAACGAGAGTTGCATATAGTAGTCCTTCTGCCCCGTGTATTGGTGTTGTACTACGTGCTGCTGCTGGACATGACAATCCATCCAGCGGCTCCGGCGCCGATATGTCATGTATCCATGTACATAGCCATGGAGAAGAAGTTGTACGCAGATCCGCTGTATAACTGTGACAGATGCGCGTTCCTCAGTACTCGCCACAGGTGTCGAGTCAAGGCAGATTGCATGATGACCGATGTTTATAGTTCCTGTTTCGTCCCCATTCCCCCCCTGATTCCCTACTCTTTACAGAACCAAGAATTTCTCCAGTTGATCTAACACCTGCTGGTTTCGTTCCCAACGTGTCTGATGTGATCGTGCCTGTTGTTTGTTGCATTCCCACCCCACGTTTTTCTCAGGGAGCCAAATCGCAGAGCTTATCATTGATTTTCGTGTGCACCAACCGGGCTTGCGGGCACAAGTGGGTCAGCTGATCGCCCTCGGCCATGCACAAGCGGCTGTCTTGCTACAGCCACCAATCTTGAGAAGCACGGGGATAGGATTGTACCACGACCGCGGTTTCGGATCCCGAAATGTCGTTTGTACAGTGTCTCGAGTCAAGTATAACTCTATCGTTTTTTTTGCGTTGTGTGGGGTATGGAGGAGAAGCGATTGTGCAGAGTTCAGAACGACCTTTACGGCGAAGAAAACCATAGCAGGAGCAGCGGTGGATCCAGCGCAGCAGTAGCACTGCTGAAGTGTACCGTGTGCTGCTAGCTTGATCCAACGGGGTACAGCATTAAGCGAACACCGGTACCGCCAAAGAATCCAACTTGATTAAGATGTGATGCATTGTCATGTGAAACAGAGGTCGACACGAACCAAGCACACAGACGATATGTTGTTGTTCTGAGGGCATCTATTTCATGAGGAGTGAAAGGAGGGGACGTAGGGGTAGTCTTCGTTCTGGGTGTAGCCAAAACTGGAGATGTAAATAATAAATACCGCAGTATATCCTGCCGCTCATTTTTTTCCCACCTGATTTGGGATCATTTAGCGAGCTGTGTGGCATGAAAGACGTCTGTCTGCATGCGTTACGCTACCAGTGCATGATACTTGTGCAGATGGCAGTATGTGGCGACAGAAGGGGGCATGTCACCGCGTTCATTGTTGTTGGGGGTGTTAGTTTCGTCGTCTCGCAATAAAACGTGCGTGTAGCTGAATGGCTTGATGGAGGCGGTGATTGGGTTGGGACCTCCGCAGCCGCACAGCAGCAGTCCAAGAGCAATAATAATACCACAAATATTTCGAAAGAGGTTTCCTTTTTTTAGAGGATTAAACACGGCATGCAGAGACCTCACGAACATCTGCGGATCAACGGATGTAGTGTTTTCTCAAAATCCTCTTGTCGTAGGCCGAGTTACACTCTATGTACACACACAAGAAACTGTGGGTACAAACCCACGGGGTTCCACAGTAGTGAGAGTCCGGAAAGAGTCATGTAGCTCTTGAGGATCAGTAGTGCGAGCGTCTACAGTACGTCAGACAGAGGTGTTTTCAAGTTCCCACACAGTCAGCGGAGGTTTCAATTTCGTCCGAAACACATGTAGAACCCGCCACTAAAACCTACTCTGGTATCGTCTAGCAGCTGTTGTTTTGATTTAAAATGAATCCAGGGTTGCGCAAAATAGGAAATACTGCATGTAGCATCAAGGACGTTGGGAAGCTCCGTTTCGCAGATGCCGCACCCACAACATCCATCCATGAAATCCGACGTGAAGTCCCGCGAGGAAACGACCTGAACTGTCAAGGAAGGCACGCTATACATCAGTCAAAGATCGCTGCAGACTTTTTTCCAGAGTTCCGCCATTGTATTCACGGCGAAAGCCCTGTTATATATCTCCCATAAAAAACAACTGGCAAAATGTTGCAGTAGTTAGAAATGTGAAGACAACACCTACAAGAACTGTCCACGCTCGAGAAAAAACATGCCCTCAGAGTAGGAAAAAAAAGTGGCCGCGGAAAGAAAAATACACGTACGGAGAATCGAACTCCGGGCATAACCGTGGGAGGGTTATATGTTACCACTACACCACACGTGTCATGTTCCACGATAGTGCGGTCCATTTTACGTATTTGAATGCTACATACAGAGGCGTGTCTGATTTGCCAAACTTCAAACTTGAGACAAGTTAGTCCGTGTGTCGCTCAAAATGATGGTACATTAGCTTAAAATTTGGCAATCCCGAATCTATCCAACATCAGGGCCGTGTTGCAGGTGAGAGGGTTCAACGGCCTACAATATTACGTCATATTACTGCTTGGTAGAGGACCAGGGCGCGCGCACACATACAGGGCAGCAGAGAGACTGCAAGGAAGGGCACCCGCGGGACAATTTGCGATTTGTGGTCGAATGTCGGTCGACTCGCCGTCGACTAGGGTGGACTCATCAGTCCTCCATTGCCTCCATCCTCGGACCCTCCGTATCCCTCGTGCACCCCAATTACAATCTACTGGCAATGTGAGTGTGCGCTAGACAGAGATGCCTAATCTCTCTCGTTGTTCCTGAATATTGCGAATGGGACCTACTGGCGGTACACTGCGCTGTACGAAAGACTACACATGTTGTACCACATACATGCGCACTTGTGGTCTACGGTCTACGCTATTCAGATTCTAGTACAGTCTGTTGATTGGCCCCAAGCCGAGTGCTGCTGGATGAGCACGGCTGTCCCGTTTGACAATGTGAAGAGATGGTAAAGTCGTTTTATTGGTCGTCCTCGTAGACACAAGCAACGGAAGAGAGTGGGCACCCAGGTGCATCACAAACACCGAGGCACGCGAGCAACAGTCACAAGACGCATTCGGAACTCGGAATACATGGCAGCAAGGAATGCGCGACAACTTGCCAAAGATCCTACTACCGGAGATACCCCGAAGATCCAAATGACCGATGGACGGTCACGCACTTGCGCACCTGCATAGCTCAAACCACACATGAGTACTACCGCAGTAGCCTTCGTAAGGATGGCATAATCCACCTCACGAACACCCTCCCTGATTCTGTACATCATAACGAATGTTCTCAAAACCAAAGCGCTCAGGGTACTCATAGAAAAACTCCAAAAATAAACAAAATAAAACAAACGAAGGGAAACCCGGCCACCGGATCAAAACCCTCCGCCCCCACGGGTCATCCTGCTGATTGAACTGTCACCACAATCAACACAGCAGTCACAAAGTTGCAAACCTACACGTCTACAACTGTCAGGCATTTGTACTACACCTTTTCAAGTAGTCCCCTCCCAGCCAACAGGATCCCTACTGTATCGAGTTGCTGTCAGCACCGCGGCGCGCCTAAGGCCACAAGCACCAATGCCAAATTGCAGCGGAAAAACGTAAAACCTAACGCTACATCGCTAAATGACATTTTTATAGAGGGCGATCAACCAAGAGGAAGATCAAGCAGTATCTCAACCACAACGGTACCCCGCTTCGAGAGACACTGGACCTAGACATTTTTTTGCTACTCCTTCACAAGTAACTCCCTCCCAGCAACAGGATCCCTACTGCTGTATCCAGCTGCTGTTAGCAACGGGGCGCGTCTGCAACCAACCCCGATCACCATTGTCGATCACATGACAGTGAGGGGTGCCCCCCTCGGTCTGTACATCAATGAAAGATCATATAAAAGGGCAATCAACCACATGTTAGGGGAGGGTGCCCCCTCTCAGCCTACACATCAGAGGACGATCGAAGCAGCATATCAATCACAAACAGTTCATCAACCAGCCTGCCGGTACCTGCTAATATGAGAGACGCTGGTAGCCATCTATCACGGAAAAAGGCGTCGTTCATCAGCCCTCCCTGATTTCAGGCAAAATAATTCCGAACATCATCAATCAAATTGGTGTGACCGCAGTGCCCTGCGGATCACCATTCCTCAAAGTGAGACGACAACGGAATGCCACACCATCCTCAGTATTCCATCGTGCAATAAGCCTCATCATGGCTCAACCTACGCGGTTAGTTACTGAGATGCGCATGGTATACCGGACAGGCAACATCGAGTTTCGTGGACTGCGTTCGTATCCCGATCGAACACACAAGAAAAAAACAACGAGCGAACGGCGGAAAAGTAACAGGCCAGAAAAAATTCCCCTTTGTACTTTCGTCAGTCGTATCATCAAAATCGGCTCTTTAGGGGGAAATGCCGACGAGCCGAATTGCACGCAAGGCACGAAAGCGAACGGGCGTTGATGCACCGCTGGGAAAACAGAACTAGACAACATCAGAGTGCTTCGTATGCGACGTCCAACTCGACACCACCGCCTCCAATCGCGGCGACTGCAGTTTCAGTTCTCGATGGGCAGTTTTTCGCGTTGTGCCCCTTTTTTCCGCACCTCTGGCAAAGCTTCTCTGGGCATGCACTCGCATAGTGGCCACCATCACAGATGTAGCACTTGACTCTCTTGTCGCTAGCTAAATTCGCCTCTTCGTAACCTCGGTTTTGTTTCGGACGTCTCTTTCCTCCCCCCTTCCCCTCTACTGCTACGAACGCATGATGGTTCGCTCGCCGATCACTCTTCCCCTTCTTTTCCTCCGCTTTCAGTTGCCCAGCCCGTGTGCGAAGCACTCTCAAAATCTCTTCTTCATCGAGTGTTTTCTGGGCGAGCAGCTGTTGCTTTTGAATCTCAAATTCCGGGGAAAGCGCATCGAGGAACCGTGCATACACGAGCATTTTTGGGATGGGCTGGTCGAATGCCAACTCTAGGTTAGTCACTACGGACTTGAACTCCTGGAAAAACACTCGGGGTTCCTGGTTCTTCCCTTGTTGGGCATTATAAAACTTTCCGATCAGCGAGATCTGCTCGCCGCCGGTCAAGGGGGTGAATGTTTCTTCTAACGCACGCCACGCTGCCGAGGGCCCCTTTCGATCGTACACCAGCATTTTTGTGGAGTTGTTGGATATCGCTCCGGTCAGCATCCCCCACAAATCCCGGTACATGGCTATCTCCCCTACTTCCACTCCTTGCTCTATCATGCCATCATCGTCTACGCCTAGGACCTCAATGTCTCTGCTGTCGCTCAAGGCGCGACCCATCCCACAAGTCTGAACCTGCGTAATGAAATCGTTTCGGAACATCAGCCAGTTTTTCTCGTCTCCGTTGAAGTCCAACTGTTTCAGTCGTGGGATACGGGCATGCGAGCTGAAAGCATACCGTGAAGCTTGCTCCTCTCTGCTGATTCCCTCTCGCGAGATAGCACCGTGTGGTGTAGGCTCTCGTGGTTCCGGGCCTCGCAGTCCTCTCGCTCCCTCGAGCCCTCGTCCAGTATTCGGCGCTTGGTCTAGCTGACCCGCGCCAGGGAAGGCGTGCGTCCTCCCCTGTGACTCCCCCCCGCCGCCCGCTGCGGTCGCACTTCCGGCGGGCGGTGTCCCGGGCACTAACCGGGACAAGGTGTTCATGATGCCTTCCAGTTTCTCCGTCACCATCTTCTCCATTCTGGTGCTGGCGTCGCCCACGGCGTCGTCGATGGCCGTCCTAAGCTCCTCATGAGTCGGGCCAGCCTCGCCCGCGCCAGAGTTCACAGAGTCGTTCGAAGACATGTGTGTATACCGCACTAGACTATGACGTTAACGCCACAAGAACTCTAGAGTGTTGATTGGCCCCAAGCCGAGTGCTGCTGGATGAGCACGGCTGTCCCGTTTGACAATGTGAAGAGATGGTAAAGTCGTTTTATTGGTCGTCCTCGTAGACACAAGCAACGGAAGAGAGTGGGCACCCAGGTGCATCACAAACACCGAGGCACGCGAGCAACAGTCACAAGACGCATTCGGAACTCGGAATACATGGCAGCAAGGAATGCGCGACAACTTGCCAAAGATCCTACTACCGGAGATACCCCGAAGATCCAAATGACCGATGGACGGTCACGCACTTGCGCACCTGCATAGCTCAAACCACACATGAGTACTACCGCAGTAGCCTTCGTAAGGATGGCATAATCCACCTCACGAACACAGTCTACGTAGTAGACGACAACGGCAAACAGCACTCGTACGTAGGGGTGTCGTGTGCTACGAGCCGGGTAGGTGTGAGGGGCGTATGGCCCACTCCCAAGGCCTGCTTGGTGGCAGTGTAGATTTTGGGCTTCAAGTCTCGAAGAACGTTCTGCCGCCTGCGTCATCAGTCATCAGCCAACGGCCCTTTCAGCTTTGGTCTTCGAACCGCAACAATGACGGCCAAGTGCGTGGTTTCTATCCTCGAGACATATTCTGCTATCTTATGCATACACTCTGTAGTGCTGG